AAAATATTTTTTGTGGATCACTCTTTATTATTAATCACTGTCAACCTTACAATGTCAAATTATTATTTAAGAGGTCAATTTAAGGGGGGCGGGAGGAAGTGCCTTTTGCCATCCTCCCCACCCTTGAGCCTAATAATCCTAGTAATTGATATGCTCAATAAACGTATATTTTTTCATGGTCCTACATTAGAAACCTTTTACACCAACATGGATATTAGCTATTCTACGCACAGACTACAAAACGAAAAAGTATGCCACTGCGTTCAACTGAACGAATTGTTAATATATATTTTTTTGTTATTGAGATTAAATATACATTAAAATGACTTATTCTTGTGTAGAATCAATAAATAATAGCATTTCTATTATTATTTCGTCTATATTTACGAATAAACCATACATTTTAAAAAACTATATGAAGTCAATTTAATTATGAGTATTAAAACTAAAATATTATGTGTGGCGATGGAGTAGTGATTAGGTCATTTGGTTTTCATGCCGAAATCTCAGGTTCAATTTTAGGTTTGGAGACTTATTAAATTAAATCTTTTTTTTAAAGTTTATTTTATTATATAAATTAGTAAAAATCATACATTATTTTTAAATTATGTGTTTTATTTTAATAACCATAAATATTTTTTTAAAATTTTTAGCTTTTCGTCTACGGCATCGTGCTCAAACTTTGTGCAATATGGCCACCATATCCACTCTTGTTGCATAATTGTGCATCATTTCTTATATGTCAAGATACATTTTATCTAAACTGTAATCGTAAGTGCACCCGGCCCTGTAACTTGTTATCCCAAAACGTTAGAGTGTCTGGTTCCTGGGCGAAAGGTGCGTGGTTCAATCAAATTCTATTTTGATTATTATTTTTTAAGATTATTTTATTTTATAAATTGGTAAACCAAATCTATGTGTTGATTATTTTTAAAATATCTTATCCACTAAATTAATTTTTGAATTTTATAATTTTCTTTATTTATTTGAATCCAAACATGCCAACGGCCTTATTACATGGATAAAAGTATTGTAGTTACAAACTATTACTAAAACTAATTAAGAGCAATGTAATGATTAATTACAAGTTTTCGGAACATATTACCAAAACGATAATATCCAGTCTACAAGTATTTATATTTATATTAATTGCCAATCGAGGCATAGTTACAAGAAGTGTCCTGGGAGAGGAAAGAGCTAAAGGAATATCAAATATGTCTCATTCCCCTAGGAGGTACCTACCTACATTAAATCGTATTAAGTATAGAAGCTCAGATGAGTTAATTAATTAATAATTTTATATAAGAAGGTCAACATTATCATATTCCTTCTATCGTGTAGAGAAAGTATTTTAAATTCTTGTCAGAAGTTTTCACTTCTAACAAGATTGTAATCTGGGTATATATTAAGTTTTTTTAAATAAAAATATCTAAGGAATTTAGTTTTTGTCTAACTAGAGCATGATAATGAATTTTACTAGATTACATGTTTTTATTTCTTTGAATATTATATCAATTTGGATTTTGTTTCATGAGCCGTAGTTACAAAAGTAAACAGATTTGTACTGATACATTTTTTGAGACGAAACCATGCTGTTGAGATACCTGACTGCTTTCAACATGCTGATATAATAATGTATAATGTCCCCAGTGTATGCTCATATAATGTAGCAGACGCTAATATCAATTTAGCCATTTCCATTTTAGTGGGCGTAGAAAAAATACTGCACAACTCGAGTGGATTATCCATATCGTACTTGACGACTGAGCACTACGCTCCACTTTTGTTTCACAAACTACGACTTGGGTACACATACTAACCATGGTTATATTAATAATAAAAATATCCTCGATAATATCTATCCAATTTTGACATCAATTGGTAAATAAGAAAACAGACATAATCACAAAAATAGTTACCTTCGTGTAAAACCTTTAAAATAGAAATGTCCGCGCCAATTAGAGAAAAGATTCAATCACCGACCTTGATATTAAACTGGATGGCTACATGACATAAACCCTACTCCTAATTTCTAAGCCGACATGGGTGAAAAAATCGGTCGGTGCGCATGACAATTTGGACGCCATACTGTCAATTTCGAGCATTCTACGTCACGTTTCCCACGGGAGTACTAGGATAAGTTATATTATTCAAATACCAGAAAGAGCCAAAAGCCGGGAAAATAGGGAAAAACAAAACGAATCAATCTGGTATACAGACGGTTCGAAAATGAAAAATAGCACAGGAGCTGGGATCTTCCATGTGAACTCAGGGAGGACAATTATTAGTTTGAACCTGGGGTCACTGACAACAGTCTTCCAGGCTGAAGTAACAGCAATAAATGCCTGCGCCAAAGTCATGCTAAATGACTCTCTTAGAGATAAGAGGATCTTTATCATGACAGACAGTCAGGCAGCCCTTAAAGCACTGAAAAGGGTAGAAGTACAATCTAAATCAATATTTGATTGCCAACAATCTCCAGGCCCTAGCAGAACATAACAAGGTCGCCCTTGAATGGGTGCCAGGACATGAGGGAGTTTTTGGAGACGAGAAAGCAGACCTCCTAGCAAGGAAGGGAGCGGAAAAAACTCTTATTGGACCAGACCCCACATGTGGTATCTCATACCAACATGTTAAAAGGGTGTTATAGGAACAAATAAATAGAGAACACCATAGGCTCTGGATGGAACATCCTGGACTTAGACAGTCCAAAAGATTCATAGAGGGGCCATCCACGAGCAGACAACATCAAGCAGAAGCGAACTAAAGGCCGTAATAGGACTCCTTACGGGACACTGCGGCCTTAGAAGACACCTAAATCTCTTAGGAATATCTGATGACTCCCTATGTAGAATATGTGAAGAGGAGGACGAAACTCCTATTCACATACTATGCCACTGTCGGAACCTTAAATGGTAACGGGAATGGTACTTCGGGGTACAATATCCGGAACCTGAAGAAATCGCGAAAGTGCCCATCAGACATATTCTTGAATTCATCAAGAAAATCAATCTGATTGGATAGAAACTGTAAGGGGTACAATAAGCCTAGAGCTTCAGTACAAGTGGGCTTTGAACCACGCCCTAATTGAGATAGATAGATAGATAGATATATTATTTTTTATTAATAACGCGCTATTTTAATAATTATTATTGTTGGAACATTTGTTTCATCTGCGTATTAATTAAAAATAATTTTTAATTGATTTTCTTGAATTAAAAGGTGTTATAGCAAGTGTTAAATTTAATTTTGATCTCCTTTTTTATTGCATTTCGATACGCACGTGTGGGCGCCAAAGTGTCAAATATCACCTCGCTATGTGGCTTGATTTTGTTGAACGGCTTTGTTCTTCCAGTTTAATATATAATTTAGTGGTTTCAATTACCTTTTAATCAATAAAGTGAGGTTATGTTTCCTCAAATTATTAAAAAATTAAATATTCGTTAATATATTTTTAGAAAATATTTATGAAATTGTTAAAAAACATATGTAAAGAATGTCAGTTTACCAATATTAATAATTAAATAACAGTAAACATGTGAAGTATTGAACATTCATTATAATGACGTTTCAATATTTATGGATTTACATAAGGGTAAATTTAAAGATGCTTCTTAATTAGGCTATAACAACAGTCAGTGTTAATTAAATATAAAGCTTAAACAATTGCTCTACCACAACGACATGAACTAAATGTCTGTCAAAGTTTAACATACTGTCATGGGAATGCCTAAGCCGTCTCTGTATAGCGCGACCTTCAGCCTGCCACTCGAAATACCGCTGACGTATAGAGACAAACGCTCCGCATCTCAAATATACCAGAACAAGCGGTACGTGACGTTGAGTCATAGAGATGGAATTCTAGGACATTCCACACCGTCTAGAGACTTCTCGTACAGAGTGGGCTTCGTATAAATAGCACAATTTCGTCGACAGACGAGAAGTTTTGAATAAAGTATTGGACAGAAAAGATAAATTGTAATAAATAAACTAGAATTGTGAGTTAGTGCCTAAGTATTATATAAATTAATTAGTACGTCATAAATAAATTGTAAATAGTGTGTTTTAAAATAAATAAACTGTAAATAAATTAAACTATCGTTACAATACCACAATTTTTAACGAATGTTCTTGGTACCTGTTGCATAACTCTTAGATGTATGATGATTATCTCAAGGTTACTATAACCGTTTAAATATTTATTTAGTGGTCTGCAGATTAGCATGCAATATGGCGTCATTCGCATTGGATTAATGAACTTCTTTTCATCATTAAAATAATATTTATAATTGGAAATTTTTTAATTATAAATATTAAGTAGGTACATCATTGCGCTTACAGTTATGGCCTTCTTGTTCAGCCCCGTATAGACTGATAATGACCTTTTTTCCAATATAAACGTTGTCAGTTCTGATATTAGTAGATAGATACCCATTATCAAGTTCAACGTTAATCAATCAATTAATGCATGGCCTAATAATAGTACAAACGTTAATACACTTAACTCTTATATACCTACCTAAGTAATACAGAAAAAATTGAAAACTAAATTTTTTATGTCTTTGAAGCAACTAAAATTACAACTCAAAATGAAACCAAAAGGAGATACAAAAAAAATCAAAATACAAAAAGTGTATTTTTAGTTGCTTTATTTCTAATAATAATGAAAATTGCAAAAATATATTGACCTTTATTTTTTGTAATATTCCAAACGAACTGTCCCGTAGGCACACCCCTGAAATTTCTGGATCAAATCTAATATATCTAAAAAAATACCCCGTAACATTATTAAGCAACTGTAAAAAATTTAATCAAAAGGGCTTAAGCATTTTATAGATAATAAAAACTATTTTTTTAAACTTCAACACCCTGTATTTCGGAAATGAAGCGATGCCGGACATATATTAATAGGAACGTTTTTTTATCCTTTTTAGACTCTTTTTGTTTAGAAAACCACCTGTACACCAATTTTTGCATAAATAAAAAATTTAAATATTTACCTTATTAGAAAGAGTTGCATTGTGTAGTTCATCCAATGTTGGCCTATTTGCCGCCTGGAAAGACATTACATTTCTGTAATTATCCAATCTAGGTAGAGCTTCACGTGTTAAATGCCTATAAAAACGCATTTTCAAATTAGTCTGTTAATGAGAAGAGTATTATTGGAAACCCGTTAATTTGACGGTTAATTTCATTTTGTTTATAAGGAAAGATATCGGAAAAAGTACTGTATATTTTTTATAGAGATCTTGAAAATCTTTTCCATATTCTCAAAAACGATAAAGGTCGCCGTTATTTCATTTGTGAAACGTAATATTTTTAAATTTAAAATTTAAATTATGTGTCGCATACTTTGAATTTGAAACAATTTTTTTTTCGTTTAAATAATTTACACTCATAGACAAACTTATTAGATATTTTAATTTATGGATTTTTGTTCATTTTTTGTTATAATCTGGTTATGGATTCATGGAAGGTTTCTTAACTTAACTTAAATTCAATGTACCAAAACAAATACATTTTTGTGAAAAAAAACACTCCAAAAGGGGCGTTTATTAATATTACAATTAGATCAAGAGTTGATCAATGAGTAATTTTGATATAACCTCACTTAACTAGGGTTGCAATCTTAAAACTAAAGTTCTACTCGCTAGTATACCTTATGGTCTGATAACTAAATTACATTAAACTAACGTGTAACACTAAACCGCAAAATGCTTTGCTTTGTTATTAACACAATCACTGGGCTAACTCAAAAGGTTTCACTCTCTTGAGTCTTCTTGTCAGGTTCGTGTTGTCAAGAAGCTGGATCGCCTCAACGTTCACATGTTGGTGGAGCCGTTGTTCGTGACTCCTAGCGAATCTGGTGAGTCTGGTCAACAGTGTCCATCTGAACTGAACGTCTCGATGAAGGTCGCTATTTCTAATGTACCAAGAGACACCGACAATGTTCCTTAATACTTTGTTTTGGAATCTCTGGATTATTAGATATTACTGTAGTTGGCACAACCCCAGAGCTAAATGCTATAGATCCAAATTGTTTATCTGATAGAATTTTGTTATATGTAGATAGGCTGGAATGCCTACCAAGTAACCAGCACATTTTCTTGAATTTTATATCTAACTCTTGCCTTTTCTTTTTAACATGAACCTTCCAGCGAAGTCTTGCATCTAATGTAATACCTAGATATTTTGCTGAGTTAGCATAAGGGACCTGAGCATTATTTATGTTAATTGGTATTCTTTGACCATTTTTGTTAGCAAAATAAATATTAACAGATTTGGTTTCGTTTAGTTTAATACGCAATCTTCTGGTCCAAATATTTATTTGATTAACTGATGTTTGTAGTTTATTTGCAGCCTCTTCATGATCTTTGCCTATCGCTAGGATGGCAGTATCATCTGCAAATGTAGCTATTGTGTCTTGTTCTAGTTGGGATATGTCACAAGTGTATAACAGATAGAAAGTGGGTTCCAGGACGCTTCCCTGTCGTACTCCTGCTTTAATTTCTTTCAATTCAGAGTATGCCTCATCTTGTTTTACTCTAAAGAATCTATCTAAAATGTATGAATCCAATAGCTCTGAAGTAGCTGTGGAAGTAGCACATTCAGTTTATGTTTTAAGCCATCATGTCATAGTTTATCAAAAGCCTGCGCAACATCGAGAAAGATGGCTGAACAGACTTATTTGTTTTCTAATGCTTTTTCAATCGCATTTGAGATTCTATGAACCTGATCTCTAGTTCAATGGTTTTCTCTAAAGCCGAACTGGTAATCTGGAATAAGTTTCCTTTCTTCAATGATGGGTTTCAGTCTTTTTATTAGTATTTTTTCAAATAATTTCGATATTATAGGCAATAGAGATATTGGCCTATATAACGAAACTTCGTTCAGAGGTTTTCCTGGTTTGGGAATCACAATGACTTCAGCTACTTTCCACAATATAGGAACATACCTTAGTTTGAATGTGGCAATAAACAGGTGTGTAAGTTTAATTATGGCTTTCTTCGGAAGTTCTTTTAAAATTTTTCCTGTAATTAAATCAAAGCCATTAATATTTGTTTTTATAACTTCTGCAATTTCCTTTGGAGAGGTTAGTCTGATAATTGAGTCATCTCTCTCTAGAGGAGCCCAGTTCGGTAATTCTTCTCCTTCATTTGGTTGGAATGTGCTCTGAGAATCTATTAACTTTTTGTATATTATTTCTAGCCCAGCTACCATCTGTATTCCTGATTGGAGCAAACAAATACATGAAAAAACCTTCATAAGAAGACCATGTTTTAAAATAACAGGAGAACTACTATCAATAAATATTAACCAGTTAAAAACAATGACAAGGGTCATGACTGGGCATGCACGAGTAGCCACCTCAACAAAATAAGCAGTACAATGGAAAGCTTGGTAATGACTATGTTACAAGGAACCAGAAATAGCCAAACTGTGCGACTGCGAAATATTAGATCGTAAAAGACATTTTAGACAACCACAGGTTGATCCAAGAATGTTTAGAACACACTCGGTCAAACTTGTACAAGGAACAAAGGTGACAGTATTTTAGTTCAGTTTAACAACAAACTCACACAGTTAAGCGCCGTTAGAAGCACTTTAAAAAGAAGATACAGGTATACTCGAAGCTTATGTGGAACTCTAAAAGGAGTACCTAGTCAAAACAGATTAACCTTAACCTGGATACTAGGCCACAGAGGCCATAAGGGCAATAAAGAGGTTGAAGGAAGAAACCTGAAAAGGTTTTCTTGGCCAAGAACCCTTTCAAGGTATCAGCCACAGAACAAAACAGCCATTAGAATATGTCAAAGCAGTGGATGTCAAACAAATCTCAGGAATAGTGGAACAAATTACAAGGACAGAGACAGGCCGAATAGTTCTTAAAAACACCATCGCCATAATTCACCGAGCATCTGCTAAGCTCTGGCTTACCTTTATAGTACTTTACTATATTGATATATAGGAAAAATACTAGAGTATTAGTAAACCTATTCCCGTACTGATAAGAAAAATACTAGAGTACTAGTAGAGCCAGTAACAGGGTATTGTAGGATTGACAGACATATATGCATAACATGGGCATAGCAGACGATAACTTTTGCCGATTATGTTAGAAAGAGAAGAAAATTTCAGTATACTATTGTGCTACTGCGAAAATCTATCAAGACTAAAATTCCTTGCACTTATAGAGAAGGAAGGGCAAATAGCTATACCGGAAATCTACTTCCTAGTCTATGGAGTCTACTGGAAAAGATCAAACTAGATTTAAAACGGTCGAGAAGGGGAAGGCTACAAGACCCAGGATCGTAACTAAATCTAATCTAATTTAACAACAAAATGTAATTACTGTCAATTAACACAATTATTATAGAAATTAATAATTTTCAAGGTGCACTTGAAATTGTACAAAAACAAAATTTAGCTAATGCTATTCACATTTAATAACGAATGGTTATACCAAAAATTATGTTCTGAATAATCTCTTGAAGACTTTGAAACCATAGTTGCATCTTTTCATTTCTGCAAGGATCTTGATGCTTTACGTCTTGTAAGTACACCACTTAAGCATATCTCTTACGTGCTCAATGGGATTATGGTCCAAGCGGTGCTGTTTATCTAAGGGTGTTGTTCATCGTTCGAATTTCAACTTTTCGAATATATTGTTCAAGGATTTTAACTGCATAAAGGCAAATCTTTAATATCCAACAAAGTCTGCACAATAGGCTCTTAAAGAACATTTCTAATGTACCACCTTTATGAACTATGCCGATCCAGTACATAATTGAGCCTCCACCATAATGTATGTTTTGAAACATTGAAAAAAACGTATTCTTGCACTAAATTTATTCTACCACTGATCTTTTAGCTTTTATTTAAAATACACTGTTTCCATGTATTTCAGTCATTTACTATGTATTTGAATAATTTAGTTATAGCTTTATTTTTTCTATTTGTTGTAAGCATCTCTTCCTAGGTTTCGGTTCCTTTGTTTCCCATTTCTGCTAGCTTTTATTTTTTTCTTCATCTTAAGTTTCATACGCAACATTTTAGTAGAAGATAGGTAGGTACAATAGGTATAAACAAACGATCCAAAATATTTTATGCTTCACCCGATATACATACCTATATTCTTTTATGTTAATACCTATATACAATAGGAAGAGTATATAAAGATGGATTTAAAACTATTTCAAAGATACCTGTTCATGATTTGGGATTTAGATAGTCAGACGAAAAGTCTTATTTAAAGAGTAGGTACTATAAATAGAACTTTAGGTATTTAAATAAGTAGCCTTGAATCTCGAATTAGATATAATGACGTTTGTATTTTCGTTTGTAACTAGTTTTAAAGTACAAACTTCTTTGATTTAAAAAAAAACTGAATAAATCAGAATAATATTTTTTAATTTAAGAAATGTATCCGTAGGTATTAAAATAAAGCTTACCTGAAACTTTTAACATAATCACTGTTCAACCTGGTTCTATCGTTAGCAGAAATATAATCATCATCTTCACTATCATGACGATGAACTTTGATTCGCAGTTCAACTGCATCGTCTTCGTTTTTGACCCTATTCACTTGAAATCTGGTTTGTTTGTCACCTTTAGCGTTATTTAAAAGTTCAGTTGCTCTTTCCGCTAGATCAAAATTTAGATCGTCTTCACTGGATGCTTTCGACATCGTCAACTAGAAGTAAAAGAGACAGATTTTGAATGATTTGATAGTTAAAATCAGCTGTTTGACAAAAATAGGTTCAGTTGTTGAGAATATTGTATTTCAGGCCTAGATTTCAGGGTGTATATACCAGGTGTTTCATTAATGTCGTCCAACTAGAAATGACTATAGGACATACAAAAATTACTGAACAACTTTTTACCAAAGCCAAAAAACTTATTTGTGAAAGTGACAATTATTTAATATTTAATTAATTACTCAAAATTCTACAAAGAAAACAAATAAATTAAATTAAAATACAAGTTAGAAAAGATATCAGGCCAAAATTGCAATTAAAAATGTTCTGTTATATAGGGTGTCCCATAATGTTTTGTTGTTTTTAGAGAGCGCTAGTTTGGCAACATTAAATATAAGCGCCACGACTCTGTATTTTCCAGATCGAGGAAGGATGCATGTTATTTAGTAAGATTACCTGGTTTCAGCAAGATGGTGCCACCGACAGAAGTGGGCTGACATACGTTGGCCCCCAAGAAGTCCTAATCTGACTCCCCTCGATTTTTTTGTAGGGATATCTAAAGTCCAAGGTGTACGAAATACCACTACGCACTCTGAAGGCCTTCAAATTGCGAATTCAGAGGAAATAATACGAGCTGTTTATTACAATTTAACGTCTAGACTTCAAAAATGCGTGACACGGGAAGGAACACATCTGGAGAAAATTATTTTTAAGAAATTAAAATCCAGGTTTTTTATTAACATTTTCACAATAAATTTAATATATTTTAGGCAAAATCATTTGTTTTATTTAAGTTAAAAAACAGCAAAACATTATGGGACACCCGTTATATACATTATATTGTATTTAATTGTGACATTATGTTTCCACTAATCATCTAGATGGTTGAAGTGGTAAATAATAAAATGTTATCAAACTGTCGTAAATCGTTTTGGAATATTTTAGCTGCCACGCCTTTTTTGTTACCTTGACCAATATGAAAATTAAAAATATACATATTCACCTTAAATTTTACTTGGGTACCTATAGGATAAGGAGCAATAGGAATAAGAATATTCATATGAAGCGAGAATAAGAGAAAGAAAGCAGAAGGCGCTGGCAATCTCTTGATGCCGACCGATCTCATCCGTCGACTACGACACGCGTACAGAGTGGGATTTAAGGCGGGCTTGCTTTTTATGAAGCTATCTCAATTCCTCCTGTTAAACGGCAAATACCCAAAATTTAAGCTGAATCCGTACATTACGCACTATGGACAATTTACATTGTCTTGTACATGTCAAAATACACATTCTGAAAATACTATAAAGTTTATATCAAAACGATTTAGCATGATTAAACTTGGAAGTAACATACAAATAATGATTAAAAATTTATAAAAGTGGTTATTTCTGTTCGGTAGATCATATGATTTAGGTGATACGAGACATTTTTTAAAATTCTTCCTAATTTTGAAATTGATGTAATATGATGTACTTCTTTGGGAAGCAAATTAAACAGTATACAAATATATGATCAATCTTTTTTTTAGTAGGGTGGTTTTTGGTAGAGTAAAACGTAATAGAGATGTGTGTCTAGTATCGTAAATGTGATGAATTACCAAAATTGAAACGTAACAAATGTAACAAACGGAATAAACGTAACAAACGTAACAAACGTAACGAACGTAACAAACGTAATAAACGAAACAAACGTAACAAACGTAACAAACGTAACAAACGTAACAAACGTAACAAACGTAACAAACGTAACAAACGTAACAAACGTAACAAACGTAACAAACGTAACAAACGTAACAAACGTAACAAACGTAACAAACGTAACAAACGTAACAAACGTAACAAACGTAACGAACGTAACGAACGTAACAAACGTAACGAACGTAACAAACGTAACGAACGTAACAAACGTAACAAACGTAACAAACGTAACAAACGTAACAAACGTAACAAACGTAACAAACGTAACAAACGTAACAAACTTAACAAACTTAACAAACGTAACAAATTTAACAAACGTAACAAATGTAACAAACGTAACCAACTTAACAAACGTAACAAACGTAACAAACGTAACAAACGTAACAAACGTAACAAACGTAACAGACGTAACAAACGTAACAAACGTAAAAAACGTAATAAAGACAGTCATAAACATACAAAGCAGGAATAGTTAATAAATTATTATGAGCTGTATTTTATTAAATTTTTAATTTTACTTTAGTTTAAGATTTGAATACTACATAGGAATTGTATTTTCTGACCGGATATCTTCCAATAAATAAATAACGACCTCAATAATTTTAATAGATTCTAGAAATTCAAGTAAGACGAGATAACTTACGAAGCAAATTAAAATAAAACGTGCTGATTATTTCACGTAAGAAGAATAAGATTTTTTTGTTTGGATTTATATAATATTCAATTCACTTAGTTTTTTCCAATTAATCTACAATTAACTTTAAAATTGAAACGATGATACTGGTAAAACTTTAGAGGTTGCTATAATGCATCTACTGCGAGATTTTTTTGTTACCCCCAACTTTTTTATTTAAATGTGACAGCCTGTATGTTTCTGCAAATTTTAATAGACTTTGTTTTCCCGAATTCGTCCTTTTACTGCCATTAATTTTATTATTGCAAATTGAAAGTATAGTACCATCAAATAACCGTCGTATTAGATGGATTGTGCTCATAGATATTGCGCTTCTTTTGCTTAGTTTCGTACCAACCCTGTAGAAATATTACTGGTAAATAAATAAGCTGCCGATTGATTTGTATGCTAGTTAATTATCCATATCGAAACAATTTTCATGCATAACTGATTTGCAAAGGAAATATCTAATTAGAAACATAAGTGAAAGATAGATCGAATTGCAAGATATGAAAATGCAACTATAACATGACTTTAATCTAAATTAATGTACTGACTAAAAACCATGATATACAACTAGATAACTATTAACTTAATAATGGTTCATGTAGGTATGTAAATGTTTGTTTTATAAAATTACTACTTTCATTTTCAATCACATAGTTGCTATTTATGTAACCAGTTACATACAAGATTTTTTCTAATTTTGACTTGATTATTTATAAAATTGTATTTGGTTAAAAAATGATTCACCATTATTCTTTTGTAGGTAAGTACTTCCAATCAAATATTTCAGAAAATTGTTGTATTTGATTGCCCTACGACGTTTTTTTTCAATCGTAATATTATGGATTCAACTTTATCGCACACACTATATATTATTTCAACTTGGAGCGATTGGACATAGTTTGAAATAACAACTATCATTTGTAACTTGCGAAACAGTTTTCGTTTTTCTTTTATGCCTAGAATAGCATCATCTATTTTCATAAGGGAATAAGTGCATGAATCCCCTTTATAATTTAACTCGATTTTTTTTCGATGTTCAGCATGACATTTTGGCTTGTCACGACTTCAATGTCTTGAATTACTACTGTAATTATTATATCAGTAACAAAATCACTGTGACATAAAATATAAAAATAAATTGCCTTTATTTGCTTGTAATCTCAATCTTGTAATATACAATGCACATAAACATCATGAGGCGAAGTCTAGCTTGCTCTACTCAACTTAACCTCAACACAAATATGAACTTAAAATAATCAAAAGGTATCCATCATTTACAATATAAAAAAAATAAGAAATTTAATATACAATTAATTTATGATTAAATAATGTTATTTAATCTAAACTGAAATCAATTTAGGTCCTAAAATCCGTTATTTTTAAAATGCAAAAACAAGAAAAATGTATGGAACTTAAAATACAATTTAAGGAAAAATGTTTGAAAATAATAACATATTAACGTTAGCACTGTATTCATTGTTCAACTAATAGCAACGTTTTATAATTTTGTTTTAAAAATGTCAGAGAACGGTCCTAATTTCCCTAGATAGACTGTTATATATTGAAACAGCGTTATACGTGAAAGATATTTTATCGACCATCCCTATTCCATGCTTTGTTAGTTGTATAACTAACTACCTGTAAAATGAAATTTTATTTCAACCACTTGTGTTGCCGGGCTAGCTAAACGTTAAATTCCATAATCATCAGACATTTTTTTCGTGTTTCTTTACAATAAAGTCATGTTATTATCCTGTATTTAGGAATTTTTTATGAAAATAAATACCTAGTTATTGTAGGTAAATGTCAAATCATCTAACATGACTATTCCTAACTTCATACTAATCTGATACTTTTAATTATTAAATATCATTAGGACAAATAGTTTTCATTTTCTTTTTAAACAAGTATAATAGGTTTAGAGACAGTGAAAAGTTGCTAAAATAAAAAAATGTATTAATATAAAACAGTAGTTTCCTGTCCCAATACAACGGTCCCTTTTGAACCTTGTTTTCGATACACAAACTTTTCAAGGCAAGTAATAAATCAGCCACCCCCTATCCGCCCAAATTCGTTCACTGACGTCACCAAAAACTAATTAAATCGAGTATTAAAATTCGATTAAAAGGGACTTAAAAGGCATTAGGAAATGAGACTCAGTTAAGTTGATTTCGAGCTCCAGTCGTATTATTCTTTAAATCTAATATAATTTAAGTTCTGTATCTTTCCTAAATCCACGCAGTTCATATCCTACCTTTATTCGACGCTCTTTAGCCCGACGACATAATTTCCAAACGTTTCCACGTCTCGACGCTCGACGTCACGATGTCATCTCTTTTATCCGACGCCCTCCATCCAACGCCCAATATCTCATCTGACGTCCTACGTCCTTACCTTTCTACCTTTCTGCGTTTGGCGTTCTGCATCACAATGCTCGCTCTCCGTCACGCCGTTCTAAATTCCGACGCTAACGTCTCAACGTCCCTGCTAATTATCCCGAATACAAAAATATAAAATGTCTAAAATAGAAACAGACGATAATATACACCCAACGATCTGCATATCCGATGGTGAGTTAAAAACTTAACAACCAAATTAAATTTGTAAAAATGGAAATTTATTGTTGAATAATAATGAGTATTATTGTGTAACTCATTATTATTTAATAATGGTCAATCTTTACATTTGAGGAATTTGTTGCTCGCCGACATCACATTTAGCTCGTCCAGATGTGTATGCTATGGGCCATATTGCCTTCAAATTAATATGTCACCGTAAAAGATAATAATAGTCTGGCTACCGAACTGTCAATGAACCCTCGCAAATATCTACTAAATAACAGCTCAGCTGATTGGGGCAAATGACACATCGGACCACTAGACTCACATTTATCCGAATAGGTTTGATGTTACTACAGGGTTGGACTATCTTTTTGTTTTAGTTTTACAACCTTTAGACCTCCCGTGCTACACCCTAATCCGTCTGTAGTCTGGCATCACTGCAGTCTGCGGCTTATTGTACCATCATTTGAAGGTCCTACTACTTTCCCATTCACACCCTAATTCATTCCACGTCGTCGATGTTTAAACGCTAGTCGGATGAATCCCATGGTGACACGGCTTATGGTGAAACCTCCCAGCGGTCACCCATCCACGACGTGACCGGAGAGATCACTGCTTAACTGTTGCGAGTAAGTGGATGCACACTAAGCTCGCGGCTAGCCTCTCCGGTTTGGACTATCTTAGATAATTATCTCTCAATCTTCGCACCGTAGGTAGATCTGAACATAAGGGGTAGTTCGCTGGTATTGATCTTACACTATTCTAGTAGGACTACATCTACATAAAACCCCCCTAGGTGAAGCTAAA